AAATTCTGCTCTTTGAAAAACCAAAAGTGGGAGGAAGTAAAAAATAATAATTTAACTAAGACAACATGGATGAAAGATGATAAATTATACTATAATTGTTAAATGAATTTTGTAGAAAATTTATTATAAAGAGGAGCCAAGCAAGTAAAATTTTTAGATTGAAAAATAGAAGCTACAACTAGAAAGAAAAAGTAGAAACTACAATAGAAGATGTAAATGCAATAAATAAGAAGGTAAGTATAATTGATTTCACCAGAGGAATAAAGACTATAACAAGAATCTTTTATGAGAAAGAGCATGTAAAGAAAGAAGGTTAATTTATTCTTATGATAAACTGCAAAAAGTATTTCAAGCTGACAAGAACCTAGAAAATTTTCTTGATTAGCTATATTTAGTAGCAAAGCTGCATAAATGCAGCAACCAAACAATAGATCATATGAAGAAATTGATAGTGCATATATGTTATCTTTTTGCATCTTTACATAATTCAAAAATTAATTGTTTAAAGTTTGATTGTATATTATATTTAGATTCAGTAGGTACAAGTAATAAGAAACTAAATATGATAGCAAATCTTGATGTAGTAACAATTTTAAATACACATGGGGAATATCTAGAGAGTTCCTTTAAAAAATTTTTGAATTATGTTTTTGTATTGAATATTGATTATTTACATTCAACAAAATACTAGTATATTATAGCCAGCTTATATAACAATAATTATAATGAATCTATGCCCCATATCAGCAATATCACTTAATAAATACTCATTTCAAAAATTATTGATGATGAATGAATTATAAAGCATCTCAACAAATAATTTATTGTAAATCTTGAAATTTATTATAATGATTGTATACAAAGTTATACAGATAAGTGGTTTAATAATGTGCTTATAAAAAGGCTAACATTGTACAGTTATAATAACAAGTTGATAAAAATAAAAAGTGACTAGTATATACAAAATTTTATATTTTTTAATTTTGTTGAAAGAAACTTAAAATACATAAAAGATTACATAAAGGCCCTTCAAATTGTATATGATCAAGAACTAATAAAGAAGTATCTTTTCAGCAATGCTATTCTAATTGTTATGGACTGGCCTGAACAGTTCTTCATTTGAAAGACTATTACATACTGACTTTTTCTTAATAATAAAGTCATTCTTCTATTTGTTTTGACATTTTTGTCTATGATGAGACTTCTTCATATTTTCTTGAATATTTATGAACTAGTTTATATAAAATTTTATTTTTATTTAATGATGTTTATAAAAGCATATTTGAAAAAAATAAAAAGAATCTTGGTAAAAAGCCACAGTCATGACAAATTGATCTAATTCTTTATATCATATATGTGATATAGTTTGACATAGTCAATATTATTTATTTAAAATTTGGTCATATGTGCAAAAAAATCAAATTTTTATATTTAACTGATCTTTTGAGCAAATTAATCTCTTTAGTTTTTGATATATATGCAGTTCATCATCAAGAAGGCAACTGGTCATTCTATAAAGAAGCCTGTATGCATTGTTGAAGTGATATCTTTCTTAGATTTGATTGAAAAAATTACAAATATGTATCTTTAATATTCTTTTCTAGCATTTTTTATTAGATAAAAACAAATCATCCAATATTCAATTTTATTACTAACTATCTTGCTGCTCTAAGTGATCATCCTCTAGAAATCATTTATAGTATTATTTATTAATATATAACTACATATGCTATGGCTTAACAATTGCTAAAAGAGACATATTGCATTTTTTAATATTGAGAAAACAATGCTTTTCATTAACATTTTATGAATTCTATGAAATAGTCTTATATATCAAAGCAGTTATTATGTTTTCTCAAAAATTTCTGTAGTGCTTCTTGATATATTTATGAAAATATATCAAACTCATTATATACATTCTTTAATCATTAGTTCATCGGATAATATTAACTCATACAAATTGTCTTCTTTAAGTTATATAATAATGGATTATTATCTTCCAAGAGGTTTTGTTATTTTAAAAAAATTCTTTACAAGTGTCTTATATGATTACTTATATTGCAATTGCACTGACTATACCAACTATTCAAATAACAACAATGTTCTTACATATGAGCATGGTTATTATAACCAATGCCTGCAGAGTGTCAATTTAAATGTTTGTTATGTTGAGACTATCTTCAGGATAAAATTAAAAAAAATATTGATGTGTTAAAGATAGGTTTAACGAAAAAATTAGGAGAAAATGAGTTTATTAATGAGAGTATTGAAGACACAAATGAAGATGATTCAAATAATGCTGAAACAATAATAAATAATATAACAACAATAGATAATTTATTAGAACATGCAAAAAAGAAAATTTTAAACTTGTAATTTTTTTTTTAATAATTTTTATTAATAAATAATTATTTGATAATTAGTTAATTTTTATAAGTGATGATATTATTGGCAAAATTATTTTAATTAATATCAAAATACATTAAATAGTATAATTATTTGTGTAGAGTTTATATAAAAATATAGCAATTACTTTTTAAAAAATTAGATACCTATATATAGTCATAATATATAAATTAATTTTATTATTTATGACATAATAATGTCATTAAAGATTCGAAATTCCAGCAAAAAATAAAATGAAATACTGCAATTGGTTTCAAAAGAGGCATGAAATTTTCTTCCTGACAACTAATAAAATATTGAATTATTGCTTATTATTAAAATGCATGATTTCTATTGGCTAAAAAAAGTATGCAAGGTCGGAATATTATGTAACACAAATTTCCTTATTTGGGACGGTCCCTCCTGCTTTCCTCAATATAGATATCCTGGCAATTAATCGCATTAATGCGATTAATTAAATAAATCAAGGAAGTGAGATTAATTAGATAAAAGGGATTTATTAGAGAAGGGGGATTTATTAAGTAAATGGATTTAAGTGAATAAATTAGAGGAATCGAATTAAATGGTTTAATGAGATTAATGTAATTAAAGAAGTTATATTAAAAAGATAAATAAAGGCCGAAATGGCCCTAGGGGACGACATGTCCGGTTTGCTTTATTAAAAAACAAGTCCCAATACATTATATCGTCCATTATAAAACCCTAACACTAATACCGTATAAACCCTGCAAACCAGCAATAAATATCGTCGTTCGTTTAAGTTCTTGACCACGTGACTTATCATACTTGTATTCGTTGACCCAAAGTAACCGAAAGCCTTAATCGCCCACTAGCCAAATCTAACCCCTCTTTCGAAAAGGTTACTTATCGTACATTACGCGAGATATTGAATTGTGGAGCGACAGAGTCGCAATCATCCGAACCCAACAATAGCAATTGGGTAACTATATGGGTTAAGATTCATAAGTGCAATAGTACAAGAAGGGCTTTCAGATTTATGTGCCCAAATGTGTGATTTAATTTGATATCTAACAGGTGAAGTTTAATTATGTTTATGTCGATATCTGTATGTTAAAATTGATCGATTATAAATGACGTGACGACCGACATTTTTAAATACCAATATATTGCATTAACAGAATCTCCACAGAGAACGACCACCGCATGACAAACTAGACATAAACATCAAGATCATTTATGTAGGGTGCATAGATTATCTATTATTGCATGTGGCTAAAAGTGTCCTTATGTCGCTCGCTCGATATAAACTTGGCATATGTTATATCATATATTATGTAAGATATCATTGAGGACGAAATTTAGAGTTCATTAGATTAAAGCTTTAATAATGTTTTTTTTTATATAATACGATGGTTGTTAATATAATGTGTGCAATTTTTGCTTTTAAAATTTTACACATTTATTTGTACGAGAATGATATTAGTATCTTAGCGAGGGTATGTTCCTAGTGTCAGACTTTATTATGATGAAAATTTGCCAGTTATGCGATGAAAAAATAATTATGATCTTTTTTTTTACTTTCTAAAATATGCCCTTGATTTGATTTGAAAACAATAATTTTTGATGAATCATTATTTTTTGGAGGTTTATATACAGTAGGTCGTTTTAACTCTAATGATTGATGATATATAATGCATTTCTACGTATTAGAGCTTTTAGGATCATTTCACGTCGCTTTTGTATATTAAGAATTATAATTACAATAAGTAATATGCAATGAAACAACCGCAACCAAAATAATGCAACTAGATCGACAGTTACTCTGCCCTGTGTAGATATTGGGTGACTCATAATATATAAAAACAATCGATTTATTTTATCAGTAAAGAATCTTTGACTTATTTTTTACAATAGCTGTATTAAAGATTCTTTTTAAATTTGTTGGATACGTGTTAGATTTTAGTAATTATCGATATGAATTTGTTGGCAGAACTATTGATATAAATTTTTAAGTATATTGTTGGAACTTTTTAAAATGTACATCAAATAATACTTTTCATTATAAAACAGGCTAAAGATCTAAAATTACGAACCAATTGATCGGTGAAATAATGAAAATATTTTTAGCATGAATACAAACATTCGGATAGTTCTTTATTAAAGTTCTTATAGCATCTTTGTGTCATCGTCAAAATACAGTCTGCACTTAATACAATCACTCTCCATATAGTTATACTCTTTATAAACACCCCAATCTTTAAAACAAACATACATCAAACATAAGAAATTTGACACAATTTCTTTTTAAGCACAGAATTTCTTGGAACCGTGGGCTTGACTATAAAGAGGTTCAACTGTAGTGAGTATCAAAAATTTATTTCACAGATAAGATCATGCAAAGTTAAAATATTTTGTTTTTCATAATATGGAATCTGAAAAATTGGGTCTGCGGGATTTTTTTTCTGAAGGTATAAAAAATTTCATCCTTCTACGCGTTCTAGTATTAGAAGATCTACTATTCTTCACATTCCTTCAAAAAGAGTATTTTTTTTTTTACTTTGCTAATGTTATATTGTACTCTTATAGATGTTCATCCAGTTTTGCATAATGCGACTTATAATTGGTATGACCCGTCATTTAAGTGACGGGTCTGATACCTGTATTTAAATAAAATATTTAGAACCGTGGATCGTTGGCGTAAGTGGTTGCCCAAATAGGAACTAGAATAAGAATTCTCCGCATCAGGACATTTCTGATAAGATTCTGAATGCTTAAGATACTTCCGGTGAGATTCCGGTTGATTAGATGAACATTCGAACATTTTTAATCCAATATCCCAGCCCAGAGAACTTTAAGTATAGAGATGCTTTACAAATATAGAAGGCCTCAATTTCGGAAAGGCTGATGAAGATGAACTAAAAAATAAAATTAAATATACGTAGTCAACAAACTCCTAAAAAAGGAAATGGCCAATCGGAGTGCACAAAATTTCTATTCATGTGAAAGAAAAAAAAAAAGGCGAAATACTCAAAAGCCAGGGGTTAAATCGATCTTCGCACACTAATTAAAAATGGCAGGAATGAAATTTTACTAATTAGTAACAATTTATTGTTACAGCCTCTAATATTAACGCTCTAACCCTCGATTATGGACAATAACCCTTGCTGTCTCACAAAATTGTTTCCACCCCAATAATTTTGACCAATCGAATTGTAAATTCAAGTGTAACGTAAAAATTGAAACGAATCCAAAAAAAAAACAGGAATAGCTCTAAATTTTTATTAGAAAACCATTTTCTGCAACCTAATTAAAAACGTTTCTCGTGAAATCCTACTACTAGCCGTCATATTTCTCTAACCATAACGCGATTTTCTTAGATTAATTAGAGGTTTGAACCGGATTTAATAATTCGGGTTTATCGCGTGAATTTTGTGATATTTTAATTAATTTAACAAATCTGTGTAAGATAAAATTATAAACCAAAAAATTAAATCCGATTTAAGGTTAGAGTAAGGTTAGCTTTAGGTTATAATTTATACTAAAATGTTACGAGGAATATTTTTTGCTAGAACTCTAAAAGCTGTTTTATTATTAGGATTTTGAGATATCAATATACCCGCGTTTTATACACTAGACATGGTGTATAATTCATCAATTATAAATTATTGGAACTTCGAATACAATCTACAGGGCATCCGTTTCTGGTTTCTAGCCCGACTGCGTGCAGCTACCTTATTTAATTTATATTCATTTTAATTTTAGTAAATGACCATAAAAAAAATTATCAATCTATGTGCTTGAGAAGCTATTCAAATTTGTAACTATTTACTATTTAATTTAGTTTGTTCACATTAACATATGCAGGTTCAAAGAAAATTTTTTAATCTACTATTTACTATTTAATTATACTTTTTACATTAACTTGGGTAAAGTTATGGTAAAAATTCCGCAGTAAAGCAACGGATTATAGCTAGTAGATTTAAAAAATGTTAAAATTCAAAATGTAATGAAATTAAGGTATTATTTTTATAAGCAGTTTTTGCCAATATTCGGCATTCTTCGAAACTAAGTTGATTATCATATAGAATTAAATTAATTAAAGTGGTGTTCATGCAAACTGCTTTTACTAATATTTCTACTCCATTATAACCAAGTTGGTTGCTACGAAGATTTAAACAAGTTAAAGAAGTGTTTTTATTAATAACTTCTGCTAAAACCTGTCCTTCTTTAAAAGTGAATTGATTGCTAGAAAGGTCTAACTTAACTAAAGTGGTGTTCTTACAAAGAGCATTAGCTAATACTTTTATTCCTTCAAAACTAAATTGACTATTATAAAGAGTCAAGTGAGTTAAAGTGTTATTATTGCAAAGAGCATGCGATATTGCCTCAATCCCTGAAAATGTAAGCTTATTACTGCTAATATCTAAGCAGTTTAGAGTAGTATTTTTATGAAGAGCTTCTGATAGGGCCTTGACACCATCAGATGTAATTAGATTGCCGTTAAGATTCAAAGAAATTAAGTTAGTATTTTTGCAAAGTGCTTCTGCTAACATTTCTGCTCCTTTAGAACCAATCTGATTATTATAAAGGCTCAATTCTCTTAGAGTGGTGTTTTTACAAAGAGCTTCTGCCAACGATTTGTCCTCTTTAAAGTCAAGTTTGTTTGAACTAAGCCTTAAACAAGTTAAAGTAATATTTTTACAAAGGGCTATTGCTATCTCTTTTACACATTCCAAATTAATTTCATTACTTCCTATGTTTAGAGAATTTAGAACATTATTCACGCGAAGAGCCTCTGCTATCGCTTTTATTCCTTCAAAACCAAATCTATTATTATAAAGGCTTAAGAAGGTTATTGTAGTGTTTTTGCGAAGAACTTCTGCTAATATTTTGCCTTCATTAATACCAAGTTGATTACCATCAAGAGTCAAAGATTTCAGAGTGGCATTTTTATATAGAGCATTTGAAAGTGCTTTCATACCCTCAAACCCGAAATGATTATAACTAAGATCTAAGGAAGTCAATTTCACATTTTTGAAAAGAGCTTCTGCAAATGCTTTTACTCCTTCATCCTTAAGATTATTATTAGAAATTTCAAGAGATGATAGCGTATTATTTTTGCAAAGTGCCTCTGCCAGTAATTTTGCTTCTTTAGGACTAAATTTACATTCATATAATCTTAATGAAGTTAGACAAGCATTTGTACAAAGAGCATCTGATAATGCTTCTATTTCTTCAAAATTAAATTTATCTTGATAAAGATTTAAATAAGTGATAGTATAGTTTTTATAAAGATTTTCTGCTAATATTTTTACAATTCCACAATTGAGCTCACCTATATTCAAATCCATAATTTTTTCACTTGTTCGTAATAACATTGTAATTAATGAATGTTTAACTATTTTAACTGCTATATCCTCTTGTTGATCATCATCTTCAAAATAATCAAAAGTGTTGTATCCTTTACGACCAAGCCAATTTGCAACACCTATTTCTAAATTATAGCTATTGACTAATGTAGTAAAAGATGTGTATTCAAATAATGGTTTTGGACCATTAGGAAGCAATATATTTAATGGAATTAATGATACTTTTTCTTCATAATTTAATGATAAAAGATGTATTCTTATTAGTTTTTTATCTTGACAATGTAATAATGGTTCGCTCCATAATATTGGAATAACATTTCTACACCATTGACGGTTTACAAGAAGGCATGAAAACAAGAATCTACAATGATTTCTAAAGTTATTAAATATTTCAAAAAGGCATTCGTTTGGTAAGAATATCATTCTGAGTAGGTAAAATCAAAAGTGAAAATTTACGGAATATTAACGTTAAATGAATTTATGTAGCAAAGTGTTACAAAATGGTTTGTTCATATGTAGGATTTTTGTTTGATTGGCTGAAGTAAATTAATTTCTTGAGTTACTTATTTGTACACTTTAAAGTACTTTTTAAAACTTTGACGTTTCACTAATAAAAATTCGTCGTTAAAGCTATATTTAACTTTGAGTAAACGTCCATATTTATTATTTAAAAATAATCAATAACCACATGAAAAAAGTTACATAGATGGGTTGGTCAGGAATACATAAAATAACTCCAGTACGACCAACAAAAAGGCTCAGGCATGTGAATGCCCGTGGTTTGTTCAGCTGTGACCTATACAAATTTTATTATTACAAATTGATAAATTGTAAAAAGTACAAGCGTGCGATATTTTTGGTTTGTTAGAATGTTAAATATTGATTCTACCAGCCGACAATGCGAATATGAATATTACAATATGGAAATTTTCAAATAAAATAAAAAAAAAATGCGGAAAAAGAAAATAAATATGAATACAGTCATCCTCCTCTATAATCATGCAGTCCGTTCCATGCTAATTATGTGATTATAAACTATATAGGAGTACGACTGTAAATAAAAAAAAATTATTTAACATATGATCCAATTCTTTACAAATAACTTTAACTATCGGATTATTTAATTTCGAGTTCAATTCTTTTCATTGACAACTTAATTCACCGACAATTGATTCACAAACAAGTTCATTCACCGACAGTCATTTCGCTAACAAAGAGAATCTGGTCATTATTGTTAGAGTCAGGCTTAGAATTAGAGTTAAGGTTAGTGAAAATTTAAAAACTTGTCGGTAAAATGAATCAGGATATCATTTAATTGATTGTTTGTGAATATAAAAATACATATCTATTACCGCTAATATCTAAGAAAGTTAAAGCAATATTTTTTATAAATAGATTCTTATAATGCTTTTACACCATAAAAGTAATTGGATTATTAATAAGACTTAAATTAATTAAATAAGATTTTGCAAAGACCTTCTGCCAACCCTTTGAGTTAAGTTTATTATGACAAATGCTTAATCCTTTTAGAGTGTGTTTTATTAAATTTGTAATTTTATTATTGTATTTTGTACTCGAATTATTAAATGGTGCAGACCATCTTTGCTGATTAATGTAACACCAATGTGGAACAAACTCAAGGCCATAAGGAAAACTTACATTGTGGGACCCGGATGGACACTGACCGTTTTGGGGATCGATCGCATTCGTCGCATCAGTCTCATCAGTCGCAGCGATCGATCAGAAGGGTCTTTTAAGAGAATGTAAATAGAGCTCTATAATTATAAATAAAGGCCAAAAGGCCCTTCGGGAATGATAACTTCCCCTTGGCAAACAATAGATAGTACACATTTTATAAATCGCTCATAATAAACTTGCTCGTAAATAATAAAAACGGATAACTTTATTAGAAGTATTCGATTATAACATAATCAGTCCCTAACTCGTAATTACATAAAAATACACCAGTACACGTGACCAAAAACCAACCTGAAACCTCCTACGCTGGTATAACCCGACCAAAACCTTGGTAACCACTCGCCAAATTTAACACGCCTCTCAAGTGGTTACATTGACTCGTCGTTTTACGACTACAACGTATGATTGGCTATTTAAATCAATTTAATTTTACATTATTTATACTGTTTAAAGTGGTTGTAGAACTCAAATATTAAAAATAATAAAAATCATTTCTGGTTTTAGAGAAGTTAACATAATAGCGACATCTTAAAGATAGATAGAGTTAGGTTATTACCATGCTAACTCCTCTAAAATAAAAAGGGGATTTTGATTATTTTTTAATAGTGGAGTCTTACAACCTTAACAAAAGTTTCTATATACTTTTTTTTTTTTCGTCGTAGTTGTAATTTTAACTGTATAAATAATGTAAAACATATCGGCCGATTTGTGGAATTTGATAAATAGAGAAACCAATCTGTCATAGCTCTGGTCA